TCAGGCTGGACTATTTAAGTGTAAGCTCATGGTTTTCAGTGTTAGACCAGAGGCCAAGGCTGTTTGGATGAGGAAAACAGACCCCTCACTGCATTTGTAACACCATGGGGGCTATGTGAATGGGTGAGAATCCCATTTGGTTTGTCCTCAGAGGACTGTTTAAGGGGCCTCAAAGATGATATGTATTTCCCATACTTGGATGAAAATCTAGTGCACAGCAAATCATTCAGTGAGCATGTGATCCATTTGTGCCTAGTGCTTCAAAGATATCAGCAACATGGGGTAAACCTGTCACCCAAGAAATGTGAATTCTTCAAAAGGAAGGTTTGATTCCTGGGCAGGACAGTTTTATGGGGACCCTGCAGAAATAGAACATGCACCAGCAAATGTAAGGTAGTTACAGAGTTCTTGGTTTTCTCTCCTATTACAGAACTTACATCAAGCATTCCTCAAAATCTGCACAGCCTCTCTATGAGCTGTTGTCCACCAAGGAGAGTGTTAGCAAGCAAATTTGAACTTATGGCAAAAAGGCAAAAACAGGACGGTTAATGCCTATCAAGTGGGGAGAAGTACACCAGCAGGCCATAGAACAGCTCATTAATGCAGTAAGTGCCCCCCTTGTCATAGATTATCCAGAGTTTGACCAGACTTTTATACTACATTGTGACACATCATGAGCAGGTTTGGGAGCAATGTTAAATCAGCACCAGCAGGGTAAACTTAGAGCTACTGCCTTCGGATCCCACACACTGACACCCTCTGAAAGTAGATATCACCTACATTCAGGCAAATTGGAAACCCTGGCATTAAAGTGGGCTGTGTACAACCATTTCAGAGACTATTTGTTCCATGCACCATCACTCACAGTATACACAGATAACAACCCGCTGACATACATATTAACCACAAAACTCAACGCCACAGGGCAAAGGTGGGTCTCTGAGCTGGTGGACTTGAACATCAGGATTAAGTATAGGCCAAGCAGAGCAAATACAAATGTGGATGTCCTTTTTTTGTATGCCTCTGAACCTGGAAAGAGACATTTATAAATTTACTGAGGAGCTGGGGCAGGAAATGGTCAAAGCTACGATGCAAGGGACAGAGACACAGAAAGAATAAAATGCAGCTCATACCACTGTCTTTTCATACAATGTCATTGAAGCCACTGTTGACTGGACTCCACCCACATTACAGCCGAATCCTACTGTTGAACTTATCAGGGCTTAACAGGAGGATCCAGTCATTGCCAGAGTGTAGAAATTCAAAGAGAGTGACCATCTTCCAGTGAAAGCTCTAAGTAGAGGGGAACCTATTGAGCTTAAATTTCTGTTTCTGTGAGTAATCAATGCTGTATTTCAATGAACAAGATCTCCTGTACCAGAAGACAGCCAATTGCACACAGCTCCTGCCAGAAAAACACCACCCTTATTTATAAAGACCTGCATAAGAAGATGGCACATTTGGGAGTGGAACAAACCACACACCTTATTAGAGACCGATTCTACTGGCCAAAAATGCAGTCTCATGTGGAGTACGCAAAAAGAGTATGTGAGTGCCTCAAAGGACGCCATCAAAACCACATCACTCAAGCTCTGTTGTCAGCAATCATCACCACTTACCCCTTCAAGCTGGTGTCTGTGGATTTTCTTCATCTAGAAGTTTGCAATGGGAGCCATAAGTATATCTTGGTGATAATGGATCATTGTGTCAAATTTGCTCAATGCCACCACCACCAGATAGCAGATAACATCTTCAATGACTTTGTGCTGAAAGATAGTTTTCCTACATGAATCCATCATGAACAGAGGCGAGAGATAGAGATTGGGTTTTGGGTCATCTGAAAGAACTGAGTGGCATAAACAGCTCCCATACTACCCCATTCCACCCTCAGGGGGATGGACAAGTATTGGGCTAGGTTAATCACACTCTACTAGGGATGTTGAGAACCTTCTTTGTGAGCCAAAAACAAAACTGGAAAGCATCATCCTAGGGTCATGCATGTCTACAACTGCACCCTTCACAAGAGTACAGGCAATGTTTGATCTGAAAGCAAAGGTGAGCAAGGCTCTTATGCTAACCATGTGAAAAACTGGCAGCCTGGCATGAAAGAGGCCTATGAGATTGCTTGGACAAGAGCAGCTAATGAAGCCGCTAAAGGGAAGCATATCCATGACAAGAGGCCTTACGGTGCTGATCTACAGCCTGGTGACAGAGTTTTAGTCAGAATCCTGGGTAAGTGAGGAGGGCCAGGAAAACTGAGTTCCTACTGGGAGGATGAATTGTGTGTGGTGGTCAGCCGGAAGGAGGCAGATATCCCAGTGTATAAGGTTAAGCCAGAAAGGGGAAAAGGGACAGCTAGAATTCTGCACTGCAACGTGTTTCTACCATGTGATTCATTGCCTCTTGAAATAGGCCAGCAGCCTTGAATGAGAGGAAAGCAGACTAGAAAGTCCAAGTACAGTCAGGGTGAGCAATCAAGCATGCATTACAACACAGATACAGATAGTGAGGAAGAATTGCAGAAACAACTAGTGGTCAGAATGCAGCCTCAACCCAGGGAGGAGCAGTAATTGAAAAGCAATGAATTAAGCAACCTTTATCAAATCCTGCAGCACATCCCCTCTCTCAAACCAATGCTCCTCCCAATGCAGTCAAGCCTCCCCTAGGGGTTCAGTATCTCAGTAGGGGCATGCTTAGCTGAGTGCCAAGAAGCAGCAAACCTACCATCTAAGGAGGATGATGGAATACAGTGGTGAGCCAGGGAATAGACCTACTATTAGCATGCTATATTTGAATATTCTACAATTAGCTTCACTTGCCTCAGCTTTCACCTCATCAGGGTGCCTCATTTGTAGTGAGGTTAGCTTTCACCAGCTTTGAACTTGAGGTCAGTAATGAGCTGATTATAGCTATGAAACCTGTGTATAACTTCTTGTCAGGGTACTAGGAGGGTTTGGGTTAGATAACCTTACTATTAAATGCTTCAGAGTCCAGTAGCAGCTTGCTTTACACCACTCCATCTGATGCTTGGCATTGTGCCTTGGTGATGTAAGGCTTGCATGCAGCTGTTCAGCCATGGAAACCCATGCCATGAAGCTCCCGGCGCACAGTTTATGTGCTGATGTTAAAGCCAGAGGAGGTTGTGAACTCTGCAGTTCCTGAGTCAGCAGAGCATTGGAGGCTTTTATGCACTATGCGCCTCAGTACTTGACAACCCCACTCTGTAAGTTAATGTGGTCTGACGCTTCATGGCTGAGTTGCTGTGGTTCCTAAATGCTTCCACTTTTCAATAATATGACTCACAGTTGATCGTGGAATTTCTAGGACAGAAGGAATTTTGTGAACTGACTTGCTGCAATGGTGGCATCCTATTACACTACCACAGTCAAATTCAGTGAGCTCTTTAGAATGACCCATTCTTTCACATATGTTTGTAAAGGCAGACTGCATGGCTAGGTGCTTGATTTTATACACCTGTGGCCATGGGACTAAATGAAACACCTGAAATCAGTGATTAAGAGGTGTGTCCTAATACATTTGTCCATATAGTGTATTTTATTTAGAAAAAAAAAAATATTGACTGCGCATGCATGTGAAGCTACCTATTTGTATCATTTGTCTGGGGAAAAACAATGAAGCAGACTTTGGCCTATTGCTCCACTTATTATAACTACTTCATCATTTAAAACATTAAGTAAACAATTACTAAGTACAAAGCTATAATTATGATGAATTGTTTTTATACAAATAACTAAATGCTTATTATTTCAAGTTATATCATTTAGGAGTTCTGAATATCAAATAGCTAAAAATTATTAACAGACTAAAATTAATGGTTAAGTTTTCACCATCCAAAATAATTAGTATAATTAATTATTAGTAAGTGACAAAGATTGATAGATAGATTTTATTTGTCCTCAAGGGGGAAATTCTTTTCCATGGTAGGTGTATACATAAAACAAACATACAAAATAGTACACAGACATACAGACATGATTACAGGGGTCACAAAAATAAACAACACTCAGATAACACTCAATTCACGCTAATTCATGGGAGCGTTACCCGTTTAATCCCAGAATGGCTCTAGGGACAAAATTCCTACAAAAACAAACCTTCCTACACAAGGATAATTTGTACCTGCAACCTGGAAGGTCGATAAATATCACTTTTAAATAACTATAACATCATTTAATACATTTTCATTTTCATTATTTTGCTTGATTAAAACGAGATCAAGTTGATAGGCAGGACCAGAGTGGTACTCATTTTCAGACTGGGAGCTACATGAAGTAGACCAGCTCACTCCCAAACCCTAACTGTATTTCTCTAACTGTATTTTCTAACCTTTTACTAGCTAACTTAGCAGAGAAAGGCTAGTTAACCACTGTGTTAGGTTTAGTTTAACTAAAAACTTTTTTAAAAATCTGGGCATTTTTTTCTTCATTTTCTGCTCCTGATTATTTGTTATAATGAAAAAACCAAGCTGACCAGTGCTAAAATGAAAACTTGAGAAATATTTGTTAATATGCTACAAACCAATGCTATCTAAATACACTCCTGTTAGCACTTTTTTGGACAAGTATGATGTTTTAGAGCATTTCTCCTCCTTTGCTTTTTTCTTGCCTTCTTGCCACCATTTTTTGTCAATGCAGTCTATCCTTAAATGATTCATGTACAGC